ATAGTAAGTTCCAGGATAGCTGGGGCTACAGGGAGACCCTGTCTCAAATAGACCAAAAAAAAAAAAAAATAAAAAATTAAAAAAAAAGAATTAAAGGTTGAATAAAAGGCTTAACAATCCATTCCTCTGCTAATTAACTGCCCTACCAGACAGCCAGGTAAGTAGCAGCCCTGATGACCGCTGGTAACTGGCAGGGGAGCATGGCAGTGAGCAGCACACAATGAAATGACACCCCTCCCCTGCTGCCACCCACACCAGACATTACTAATCAATCCTGGCACGTCCTCGCAGAGCCTCTGGTCACCGTCCTGGCTACTCCTGCAGATGGCTACCCCATCCTTGCCTTCTCTCTACTGTCCACAGGTCCCAAGGAGCTTGGAGGACTGAGAGGCAGCTCAGTCTCACCATTTAACCACTCTGTAGAGGATCCTTCCCCGCACCCCAGCCCCGTCCACTCCCCACTGTCCAGACCATCAGAGCAGTGCTGTGGGCCCTTCTCACCAGTACGACATATTGTTGAAGTGCTCTGTGAACTGGGTCAAGTTGGGACTTTTCTCTTCATTCTGTTCTTTGGCCCAAAGTAAAACTTCAGGAATCTACAAGTGGAAAGAGGACAGCGCTGGGGCCTCTGGCTTTCTCGGGTCCAGAGACAATCAGCAGCTGCTCCCGGGCAGAGAGCTGCTCCCCTCATTGGGGCATTTAGGGCATACCTCTATCTTGTAGAAGAGCTCAGCATCCAGCAGTGTCAGCTGCTCTGCTATCTCATGGCTGTGGAAGTCATGCAAGGTCCCTGGCCTGGAAGACAGGGTGGGGACAGAGTCACCCAGCTCAGGCTTCAGCTCTGAGGACCCTTGTTGGGTACAGGGCTCTCTCGGTGCCTTGCCTGCCTTCCTCTCCCACCTCTGCAAGGCACTTCGTAGCCATGGAAACAGGAGACCAAGCCTCCCTGGTGCACTTCCAGAACATGCTTATTAACTTGAGCTCAAGCTGATCCCCTTTCCTGCTGGCTAGTGAGAACACATCTCTGCGAACGAGGGCTGAGCGTTCACTGGAGAGGCTGTTCCATCATCTACAGCCAGAACTGACCTCCACCCCCACCAGCTGGGCAGAGGGCAGGGAGGAGGCCTTGGCTTTCCCAGGTCTCTAATATGGTCAGGGTGGCACAGGAGGTAATGTCTGCTGCAACAGGGCCGAAGAGTCCAGAGCTCACCACAGCCTGGAGCACATTCATCATCTGTCTGTTCAGACCCAAATGCCTTCCTGACAACAAGCGCCACATGGGGGATGCCCAGCCACAGGGAGTCCAGGGGCTGTCCCCAAGGCACCTCATCACAGGGCCTGGGCAGAATCAGGGGTTGAGGTTGTAGGGAGAGGCAAACTGAGGAAGCAGACTACAAAGGTGGCTACCAGGCTCAGCTCCTGCCTGACGCAGGGCTGGGATGCTCCTTACCTGGCTGCAACACCCCTGGCTGCCAGGGGCTGGTCAGAGTTGGCACACCGGAGCAGCTTCTTCTGGTCCACCTTGTCCAGGATGTTCTTCCGGAGCACACGGGCCAGGCTGAGCTCCCCGCTGCACACCAGGCGGAAGACCAACTCCATCAACAGCTTCAAGATTTCCTCTGTCAACTCCACCAAGCTAAAGGGCCAAGTGCATAGGGTGAAAGGCAGCCACCAGGACGTACCTGAGGGTCTCTATGGGAAGGACTGAGAAGGGAGCTCTGGGCACCACCTATGCTCTCTACAGCTCTGGGAGCAGCCTTTCTCCAACAGGTTCCTGCCACTGGTTCAACACAGGCTTGCTGGCTCCTGCCTTGGAGAGGCTCCTGGTCTACTGGGTGATGTCAGGTGGATAGCAGATACTGGAGGACTCCCCTGACTTCCGCTGAGCCCTCCTCTCCAGGGCTTCTCATGTTACACAGCCACTGCACAAGGGCAGATCCTACCGCAGGGTGCCACCAGAGGGCAAGGACTTAGTGTGTCTTGTTTACCCATGATCTGGCACACCCAGAACAGGGTGCAGTTAAGTATGGAAATGGCAGGGGCCATGTCAGAGGTGCAGACAGACTGTGGTCATGGTGGGCATGGTGGAGAGATAGCCTCTTCATGCACCCGTCTCTACCTACTCCCATGCTGCTATGAGCACAAGCCCACTGTAAACTGGTCCTAAGACACTGCAGGAAGGGACAGTTCCAGGAGGGGCGGAGTCTCTCCTGAAGCCTAGAATAGACTCTACAAGGAAGGGCCTAACCCACCCTGGTCAACAGGGGCCAGTCATTCTTAAAGGGTTGCCATGAAGCAGGGAAGAACCTGGTCCAGAGCCAGCAAGGAGTGCTCTGTGCTGGGGGCTCTTACCCTCGAAGTAGGTGGAACGTAACAGGTTGCACGATCCAGTGGGAAAGCCTGCACCACCCCTGCAGCTTGCTGGCAGTGCAAAGTTCTGTCCACAGGCCTGAGCTTTTGCCACCCGCCCCTGGGGCCCTGGGACAAATCACTTACCAGAGCTCATCCACCACCCGCACCAGCACAAAGAATGTGTTCTTGCTGACACGCTTCTTGAATGTGTCAGCAAAGGGAGAGAACTTCTCATATGTGGAGTACGGGTTAAGGAGAAGGTCCGTAAGGTGGAGTGTATGTGGACTGCTGACTTACTGTGCTGGGAATCTCCTGAGGGCACCTCAAGCACATGGAAGCAAAGGTCCGGCCTGTGCACAGTGGCAGAGCTGCAAAGCCAGAATCAAGTCCAGGCCCTGGTTCCAAGAGCTGTTCCCAATTCCTGCCCTCTCCTGTTTCTATGAGTGCTGTTATGCTAGGGCCACAGTGCTGGGCCTTAGAGGACGAAGTTCCTGTCTAGACACTCAAAACCCAGGGAACGGAGGGTTCAGGGCACACGGGAAGGAGTTGGAGGGCCTGCCCCAGTGACAGCAGCTGCCCAGCAGGTGGCAGTCATAGGCCATGTGGCTGTGAGCTGGCTTAGGAGCAGTGGTCCCCAAGCTTCTGGGGCAACAGCTTCCTGGTGACCTGGTCACATAGGCAGGCCTGGGCCTGAGAAGGAGGCAACAGGCAGCCAAGTGGGTTCTTCCAAGACCAATGGGACAGTTCTGGTGGAAGGAGTGGGAGGTAAAGCCAGTTGTGGTGGAGGAGCTGTTTACCACCTGACCAAAGGGCATTCTCTGCTCTGAAGCCACTAAGACTTCATCTCTCAAGCCCACCCACAGTGCCCACCAGCCTACCTGGGGCTCTGCAAGGAGACCTGGCAGTCACTTCCCCCCAGGGCCACTGGCCTCCCTCCTGTGATCCCACCCATTGTGGGCAGCACAGCAGACCCTGTTCCAGGTCCGACACAGTTTCACATTTCTCCCGGCCCTTTGAGGAGAGGCAGAGCCAGGACACAGCTAGCTGGGGTGGGAAGTGGGCTCCCACTGGGAAGGGGAGGGTGCAGCTGCCTGTCTGAGCCTGTGGCCCTGGGAAGGATATCGGTACTGCAGCTTCTTGATGAGCTCCTCAGGGCTGATGAAGGTCCTGTAGGTGGTCAGGAAGGCTTCGCAGTATAGCACCAGGTCTGCAGGGGAACAAGGAGTTATCAGGCAGGGTGCAGGATGTGGGTACCAGCCAGAGTCGAATCTCCTGTGAGCCAGGCCAGGGAGGCAAGGTGGGAGCCCAGGGCTCTGCCTGTGTCCCAGAGAACATTGCCCAGGTCTGTCTCTCACAGAGACAGTTTCCTTTCATTTCATAGGCACTTGCTGTTACTGCTGGGGCTGCCTGGGGAGCCATGCTGTAGCAGGATCTCAGGCTTAGCATAGCTACTACAGTGGGGAGCAGAATTTTAGCCAGTCAGTGACTCCTGTGCTGGCAAGGGACAGAGAGTGGGCACACTGGCTCTCAGCTGTGCCACCCCTGGATCAGCATAGAAGCTGTCTTAAGGCTCAATGGCTCGAAGGGTCCTAACTGCCACAGGCAGAGAGATTAATCCAAACCTGTCAGCAGGCTCTGACAGCCAAATCAGTATTTTTAGGTGAAGTGTGTTCTTCCAAGGGTCCAGGAACTTGAAAATTTGGGGAAATCTGTCCTAAGTCCTGGACTGGATACAGAAGGCTCGGCAGGAGGCTTGCAGCCCACAGAGGGAAAGGTAGCTAGGAGGACCACAGCCCCAGTGTGGGGCTCAGGCTGGCAGCACCCATACCTCCCTTTCATTAGAGCTGCTGTCAGTCAGGGATCCCAGCCTCTCCAGAGGCCCGACAGCTCTATTTACTGCTGTGACACAGCCTCCCACCATGCTGTCAGATGCTAAAGGAATGCAGCCACTGCAGCCATGTGAGGTAGAGTGGGCCAGCACAGGGATGGCTGTGATGTACCACATTGGGCCCGAGAAAGCTCCCTGGCTGCATAAGACTGGGTGCACACCAGTGCTATCTGAGCTTTGCTTCCTGCCCGTCACCTCTCATATCTCCCAATTTTCTGGGGGGTGTTGAAGGATGCCCACTGGCACAGATGTGTGGTACTTTGCTCTATCACCCTGAGGCCTGGGAAGACATGACTACTCTTGCATTTGGGCTGTGTGGGGCCTGATCCCTGTATTGTACTCAGCCTTATGGTTGGAACACAACCTATCAGCTCACTGTCATGCTGAGCTTTTTCTAGAAAGAATGCTGGTCAAGAAAGTAGAGATGGGGCCAGAGCATGCTAACACTTATTTCTGTTAAGAAGAGTGGGTTCAGGTACGCATGTCACAGTAGGGAGGACCACTGCCAGGAACCAGGGTGACCTCTTGCAGGGTGTTCTATGTGTGTTGGTGAGCACTGGGGTCATACTCCACATGTTGACTGTTAAACTTAGGATGCTGTGTGAGATAGAGTTGGCCAGGCTCAGGGATTGCTGTGCTATGCCATACTGACCTAGGAAGCTTAGATGTCCAAATGCAAAGCCAGGACAGGGGGACATAGGACAGAGGAACATAGGCATAAGGCTATAATACCTGTAAACAGGGCTCACACCCAGGGCTACTGACTCTAGAGCTCTTAGCTATCAGTTGACCAGGGGCTGTGGTAATGGGGTTTCACCTAGCTTCTAGGATGGTAACCTGGGCCACTCCAGTGCTCACATGGTTTTTTGGTTGAGGTCCCCTTGTCCCTAGTGTCCTTCTGAGGAATAGAAGCTTGGGAGCCAAGTAACAGGTCTAGCACACACAGGTCCTAAGGAAGCGACAGAATCTTAACACCATGTCCTGCCTGGCCCTCTCCTATGGATTCTAACGCATGCCACTGAAGAGAAGAGCTGTGTAATGACAAGTCCTCCCTCCTGCTTGCTTGCCTTCCAGGCTGGGCTGTGCGTGGGATGGCTGCATCCAGATGGCTGGGCCACGGGGCTGCCTAGGTTCTTCCAGCCACTGGCAACATTAGTCCACCTGGCAAAGAGGAAGAGCTTGTTCTGTCACCTCCATGGGCACCTTCTCCATGTGGTCATGGCCTCTGCCTCAGGTACAAACAGCTGAGACTCCCAGGTAAAAACAACTCTGGCTCTGCAGGGACCCTAAAACCTACTGAAAGTATTAGGTAAAAGCTCCAGCTCAACAGTCTCCTCTTAGCATGCGCAGGGTGTAGACCAGAAGGCTCTCAGGCTCCCTGTCCACAGAGCCCTTTGGCCTGGCTGCAGCTGGCTATAGCTGGAAGGACAGAGTTCCCCTCAAAAGGCCAGGCCCAGAGTCAGCTCCCATTCTAACCCTTTACTTCTGAACAAAAATGAGAAAACAGCCCCTTTGCCAGGCCGTGGATGGAGCTCTGATGTGTCAGACCCTGCAAGGCTGTCCTGAGATGCCACCTAAGACTTGCTTGCTTTGCTAACCCCGAAGAGCTCAGGGAGTCAAGGCCTAGGGGGAAGGAGCGCCCCACAGCATGTGGTGGCCTGGGACTCCACAGTGGTGGTCCTCAGTCTCCAGAGCTGCCTCCCTGTCCTGGCCAGAAGATACAAGTGAAGAAGTGGTGGAGGGCGTAACAGCGGCTGGACAGGGCAGCTTGTGAATGGCATCTCTTCTTCCCTGTTTTGCTGTGTTGGCCAGGGAAAGTTTTACATAATTCAGAAATTCCCAGAATCACTCTGTGTAATCTACTTCAGGAAATTTGCTGTGAAAACACAAGGATGGGGCCATTTATAAAAACAAAGCTGGCTGGGTTGGGGTTTAAGAGTAGAGTGTTTTCATCTCTCTACAGCTTAACCTGGTTACAGCATCTTTTCAGTAATCTTTTCTTTTTTGCCCCAGTGCTGGGGATTGATCTCATGGTCTCATACATGGCTAGGCAAGTGCTTTATCACTGAATCATAACCCCTGCTCTTTTAAAGCCCCCCTCCCCTTTTTTGGTCTTTTTGAGATAGGGTCTCCCTGTAGCCCCAGCTCGTCTGGAACTTGCTATATACACCAGGCTGGCCTCAAACTCAGAGATCTGCTTGTCTTTACTTCCTAAATGCTGGGATTAAAGGCATGTGCCACCATGCCTTGGCCTAACCCAGATTATTTTCTTTTAACATAGGGTCTCATTATGTAGCCTGGGGGATCTGGAATTCTCTATATAGTCTAGGCTGGCCTCGATTTCACAGAGATCCATGTGCTTCTGTCTCTTGAGTGCTGGGATTAAAGGTGTGCACCACCATGCTTGGCCCCAAAATTCTTTTTAAAAAGGTAAGAAGAGAATGGATATGGCTGGAAGAAGCAGCCCCCCTGAGGCTGGGGAGGGCAGGCTGTGCCTGACCTGGGTCATTGGCATCTTCCTCTTAGGCTGGCTCAAGGCCCAGTCCCCTCTGCTTCAGAGTATCATGGACAGCTCCTCTGCTAGCAGAGCTTAGTTAAGATGGTTTAGGGGGTGTACGGATGGCCCCTGCTTCGGAGTCCTCTCAGATGACCAGGATGCAGAGGGGATAGTGAGGTTGGCATAGCTCCTAGATGGAACAGACTTTGTTTCCAGGAACTTGCTAGTGGAGTACACTAATCAAATATGTAGGAGAAAAGAATGGCTCAAACATGGACACTAGAAAAAGCTGCCCATGTGTTACCTTAATTTGTTTTTTCTTTTAGACAGGGTCTTGCTATGTAGACTTGGCTGACTTTGAACCGACAGTCCTGCGTCAGCCTCCTGAGTGCTGGGATTACAAGTGTGTGCCACTGTGCCAGCTTTAGATTTAATACCACCATTCAGTGTTATCACTCGTCGGACTGCGTATGGAGTATACACCATCCTTGTCCCTGGGATGCCCACAGGGTCAAGGGCACCGCCAACTTGCACCAGGGGAGGACATGTCCAGGGGCTGGCTATGGCATGATTACTGTCTCCCAAGGTGGGCTCTCCCTCCTCTGATCCAGTACCATCAAGCCCAACCCAGTCGGCAAAGGAGGGTCAAATGATGTCTGTGGTAGGGGATATGCAGTCACTGCAGTGTGGATTGCCATACCTTTTCTGTCTGTCTCAGTAGCATGGACCAGTAAGATGTCTCCTGAACCTCCACGCACATCTGGCCCGTCATCACCCTGGAGTGAAGAGAGTGAAGGAGGGTGTAAGGTGGTGGTGAGGCGACAAACACTGTGCTTTAGGGAGCCCCAAGTCCCCTGCCTCCTCAGTCCAGCAGCTGCAGGCAATGCTGTGGACTCCAGGCATCCTGTGAAACCCACCTGATGCTGTGGGCTTGGTAGATGGGTAGGAATCAGAACTTATGTGGGAACCTGGGTACTGTGGAGGCTGCCCAGATGCTGTGGGCAGCAGGGCATATCACTTTCCTGAGGACACATGGGGTCAAGGGGATAGGTGTCACCTCCTGGCTCATAATGAAAAATGGGACTTCTGCAGAGGCAGGCAGCCCCTTAGCTTGGAGGCAGTAGGACAGTGTCCAGCTGCAGCAAGCCGCCCTTCATCTAAGTCCCTTTCCCGGACGGAAGCAGGATCCACCTGTGGGGAGGCATCCTTCAGGTTGTTTTAGGGGGAACAATCTAGAAGAACGTGAAACATCACGACTCAGGGGAAAGAGCTAACACCCTATGCTGTGCACCCCTCACCATGCCTGCCTTTGCTGTTTTCATCTTGACTCCAGGCTCCTCAGTGTTCTGGTTTTCCCAGCAGGGACGAGCCTGGCTACTTTTGTGACCTAAATTTAGCTCGTCTTTCTGCAGATGGGTCCATCTGTCCAGGCCCCTTGATGGCCCAAGGTGCTGACACTTTGCTGGGTTGCTAGGAATCAGCATGCCTAGAGCAGCATCTACGCTCTTGTCCTGTCTGTGTGACGGCCATCAAACTGGTGCCCAGACACACATACACAGCCAGCTCCTCAGGGGGCCAAGTCATCTCATAATGACTAGAACTGTACAGAGGAGAGTTGAGGCTCTTGAGGCCAGCTTCTTCCACTATCTTGATAGGTCTGCGTACCATTCTCACCCACGGCTCTACAGCAAGGCACAGCTAGAGGCCCCACCAAATCTAGGCCCCAGAGGGTGGCTGTACTACCAACAACAGGTCAGTGTCTCACACCACTGAGGCTCCCAGGCTGCTGACTGCTGCTGCGTGTTTCTCTTGTACTGCACCTGTGTGAGGTGCAGCTCAGGGAGGCTTTTCAAGGCCCAAGGTCACTTTCTGGAAGCAGCAAGAGAAGGGGTAGTAAGCTTACCTCCTAGAACCCTTCCGACTGGGAGCCCAAGAGCCCTGGTGCCCATGCCTTGCCTGGTTCAGATCATCCTGCTGGAGAACCCCAAGGCCACATTCTGACTTCCCTCACTCTTGCTTGGTGGGGCTAGACTGTAAAATCCAGGTCTAGGGAGTCCTTACCTCTTGCTTGAGTGTCAGCCTGGCCATAATTTCATTGTGGTCAATGAGGGACAGTTCGTCCACTTCCTCCTCTGACACGGCTGACTCCAGAGCATCTGGTGACTCTGGAGACCTGGGGAGAGAAGTGGTTGTTGCAGCAAGTGCCAGACAAGCCCCAGGCTCCCCAGTCCCTGGTGGTCTGGAGTTAAGGCAATGCTGGTGATGGTTAATCTCAACTGTCAACTTAATAAGATCTAGAATCACAGGGAGTCAGGCCTCCGGGCCTGCTTGTGGGGGTTATGTTGATTACGTTCACTGAGGTGGAAAGACCTGCCCACTGTGGGTGGCACCATTCCCTGGGCTGGACAAGAAGGAGAAAGGGAGCCAAGCGCCAGCGTTCATTTCTCTCTACTTCTTTTAATTACATTTTTCCCCTCTGCCTCTTAACTGTGGATGTGACCCACCACCCCAATGCCATGGATGTGCACAATGCCTCAGCTCCTGCTGCTGTGACTCCCCCTCTCCCATGATGAACTGCAGCACTGAACTATGAGGCCAAATAAACCCTTTCTCCTAGAGGTTGCTGTGGTTTGGGTGCTTTATCATGGCTATGGGAAAAATCAGGGACAAGCGCTGAATGCAGCCATGCTGTGAAGCTGGAGTGGTGGGCAGAGCTGCTCAGTTGTGAGGCCTGCCTGTTTTCCACAAGTTTCATCTGCAAATGGAGAGGATTAGGCAGGTGATGAAAGGGTCCACTGAGTTCTTTGCAATGATCTCAGCCACGCCTTGTTGGATCCCATCATGTGTGCACACTCGGGCAGTACTGAAGGGAAGTGCAGTAAAGGGCGGCAGCAGGAAGAAGCTCACATCCTCCATGCCGTTCCCAAGCTTGCCCGGGGCCCAAACTGTCTGGTCCTTTAGCTTAGCAGGAAGAAAAAGCTGTGAGCAGACAAACATGGGCCTACGTCACCAAGTACTTAGTCTCATAAGAGATACTCTCTAAAATAAGCAACTGCAGCAGCAGCCGAGCAGGCCCTGCAAAGGGCAGACAGGCCGAGACTTGAAGCACTAAACAGGAGCTGACCGAGGACGAGAGGGCGCTCTTGCCAGTGTGGGCAGCGAAGGGTGCCAGGCAAGGTAGATTCTCAGGCCAGATCCAGAGACACTGGCTAGAGTTGGGAGGTCACAGGGTATATTAAAAAACCACACCAACAACTAATTTATTACATTTTATTTTGTGTGCATGTGCCTGTGTGTGTGTGCATGTGCATGCGCATGTGTGTATGGAGTTTAGAGGACAATTTGTGTGTCAGTTCCCTCACCCCATCACATAGGTCTGAGGGATCCGCCTTAGGTCAGCAGGTCTTTATCCACTGATCCATCTCACCAGCCCACAGGGCACATTTAAAACCCCACGTCTCTGAGTTAGGAGCTGCAGCAGAGCCAAGGATCCCAGGCTTGGGAAGAGCCGAGCTGCTGTGCCTGGGAAGGCCAGCCTGTCGTGTGGCTCTCTGCGGGACGCCGTCCCAGGGACCTCCTCACCGCTCGGCCTTCTGCCCTTCACCATCAGAACTCCGCTGCGCTCTGAGAGTGTCTCGGGACAGTCTTCCCTCAGGAGTGGGTAACCCAAACACCTCAACTACACATGTGAACTTAAGTCTGGTGAAGCAGATGACAGGATCCTGGGCTGCTAGGTGTTAAACTAGAAAAGCCACCATTCTCACTTAACACCTGGGGACACCTCAGCCTAGGGAAATGGTAACAGACTCAGGGACAGAATCCACGAGTGACCAGGAGGCAGATGTCCAGCCTCTCAGGCCTCTGCTCTCTCTCACTATCTGTCACTGCCTCTTTACCAACTCATACTGAGGCCTGATGCGGACATGACAGGTGGGTAGTGTTTTGCGCTACCAAGATCATGGAAGCCCTTGAGGCGAGGCAAACAATCTGATCCTTGACTTGAAGAGGTGGTACCTCTCACAATGAAGGTGACATCGACGCTAAGCCGTGGGGATGCTTGTGGGCAGCTCCTTCACATGGCACCTTCAGAGGATTAGCTCCCTGTCTGTGAGCCTGGCCACCACTGAGACAAGGCAGCTAAAGGAACAGCAAAGGTTTTTGGTTGTAAAAGATGAAAACTATGGAAGATACTTCTAGGAGGAGCTGGGGCTGCAGCTCAGCGGTAGAGCACTAGCCTAACCTGTATGGAGGCCTTCAATTCCATTAGTAGGACTGCCATTTTTTTTTTTTTTTCTGGGATGATTAGGGATATGGAACACAGTTTGCCTTCCAGATGATGAGGGAACCATTTCTGTCTGAGGTATGCCATCTGTCTTTTCTCTTGTCAGGAGAGACATACTGGCATGTTTGGGGGCTCAGCTTCTCAACATCTCTAACTTTCTTTCAAAATGGCTTGGCAACATAAGACACATACGTGACAAGTCTGTGAGTAGGAAGGTCTTTTATACTTCCTATGACCTCAGTTGGAAGAGCCCCAAATCAAGGAAGGTGGGTCTGGGGTTTGAGACAGAAAGGGGGACCTAGTGTGGGTGACTGGGACATCAGACAGCATAGGCCGATCAGGAAGGAACATGGGTGCCGTCAGGGCCTCTGAAGGGCTGATTGAGGCGATCTGTTTTTTTGTAGTTTCCGTCCTGAGCACGAACTGATTTGAAAACCAGGAAAAGAAAGACCCTCAACTGAAACACAGGCAGGCCTTCTGGGCTGGCTGGCTAGGGAGGTTCAGGCAGGCCTCAATGAGGACATGCCGCTTTGGGGGACCTGGCTGCTCCCCGTTCACGCCCTACCTCTCCCGGTTGTCTCTGTTGTCCTTCCCAGATGCACTGCTCACTGCAGAGGGATCTCGGGACTGACCGTCTTTCCCAGCTGATGGTTCCTACAAAGAGAAGGAATGCTGGGGTTTGGCCAGATGGCCCATGCTGGGGGGGATCTGTTTTCCCAGCACTCCTGCCTGCAAGTGGCTGTGGAATGCGAGTTCCTATGGAGCAACTGGAGGTGGGAACAAGTTAATGATGAATGGGGTTAATTACAGGAAACAAGCCCTTTTGAGACCAGCACCTGTCTTTGGAGAGAGTGGAGGTGCCACTCCTTATAACATCCATCACATGCTATCCTGGATATAGCCACCCTACTCACTTCCTGAAGGGCTGTCCCAGAGCCCGTTCTCTGAGCTCAGTTGGTACTGGCCTGAGGGTTCTGCACACCTCTTCTCCCTCACTCCCATCAATAAGTAATGCCACCATCCTTCTATCCCCCATGGAAACTGGCTAGATGGAGGTCAAGGGCTTGTTGTGAGAGACCACATAGCTGGGAAGTAGCAGAACCTGGACCTGAACCCAGGGCCACCTGCCTCCAAAGCCTGTCTGACTTCCTAAAGAGAGTCTTTGGAGTGGTAAGATATTACCAGTCACAGTTCCAAAGAGTCCAGCTACTTAAGCAGACTGTGAACTGCCCCGGGCAGACTCGCTGCTGCCACCCAGTGACAGCACAGCCCCTCGACATCCGTGGGCTGCCAGGGAAGTGGTATTGAAGAAAGGCAGTGTGAACACTGGAGTGCTGCACTCCAAGGTAGAGTTGGTACTGTAGATGGCCACTGGCAGAGGGAGGACCATGGAAGCTGGGTATGGATGCCTTCAAGCATACACACTCTGAGGTGGATGATGCTGGTGACACAAGTCACCAGTGGGTGGGGACACTGGCTTAGCTCTCACAGGCAGGGCCAAATCCCACTTAAGGGAAAATTCCTTATGCTGGCTGATGTCTAAAGGGAAGCCTGCCTTGGCGTAGGCAGCTCAAAGCTCCAGGGAATCACAACAGGACTACTATAGGATTGTCATGCTCTTCAGGTTGGGCCTGTGGTATGGTGATCCCTGGGGAGGACTCCACTCCTCAGGAACTTAAGCTCATCCCTTGGAGGAGCCTCTCACTTGAGCTCCTGGCACGGGGGCTGCAGTCTCTCAACTGGTTTCTGTTTTGAGGAAGCCATACTTGGAAAGTCACCTGCCCAACAGAAGCTTTGTGTTTTGAGGCCACACGCTAGGCAGCAGGGTAACATGGTACAGACCACAGGGATTCTGCTCTCAGGAGGGAGGTGTGGAAGCACACCCAGCAGGGCTCCACCACTGCCCTGCTTCCCTGGGAGTTGAGAGGAGTAGGGGCATGCTGGGAAGAAGTGGAGGGCAGGAGCAGGAGACGCAACTCTTGGGAGAGGGACCTCAGCACTGGAAGGAAGGATGGAAAGAATTCCCAGGGAACAGGTAGGTCTGTACTAGGGTTCACACCAGGCGGCTTCTGGAAATTTCCAGAAGTCACATCTAGCCAAGCTCTGGGAAGCACCATACTCACTGAGGCAGCAGGACAGACCTGGAAGCCACATTCTCTCCCAAGGGCTGGGCTGGCTTCCAGTAGGTCTGTGGGGCTCAGCCAACAGAAGGAGGTATAAGGGAAGCAGGCTCAGCAGGGCAGGGGCCTGGCCCATGCACGAGGCCACCCACCCGAGGTTACTTACTCCTCGAGGGGGAGCCAGTTCCTCGCTGTTCTGGCCAGAGGAATACAGATTGACATATTCACCCTCACCAGCCTCCTCACTGGCATTTTCAATCTGGAGGGGGGGGGGACGGAAAGGATGAGCGGAGAGACAATGGGCTGGGCCCCCTGGCCAGTCCTCACAGCTGAGAGAGCTAGCTGACTGGGAAGGATGCTCCCTTCATGAGGAAGAAAAGGCCTGAGAGCTATCTCAGCTCTCCCTGGGAGGTGCTGACCTCTGTACAGAGGACAAAGCTGCTTTATCATCTCTTGCCTCTGAGCCAGCAAGGCCTGTTTCCTACTGGATTTTCTCCAAGGTGTTAAGAGCCATTCTGGAAATTTCTGGAAATCTGTTCTACCGCAGTGGGGTCTGCCAACGTCCCCAGTGTGGTAAGCAAGAAGTAACCCACTTGCTGGACCCTTTCGACCTCTCGGCATGCCCCTCCATTCTGTGGTCTGATGAAACCTGAGAGGCCCTTTCCCGGGACAGGAAAGCAACCCTACAGGCAACTGAGCATCAGCTGCCTTCCATCTGACTCTGCCATACTCCACAGGGGTCTGGACCTCTCTACAGACATACAACAGAAAGCCAGGGGTGTTTTCTCTCTTACCCTAATCCCACTCCTAGAGCGATGGGAATTTTATGTAAAAGATCTGATTTCTGTTCTAGAAACAGATGGGTCACTATAGCACCTTGAGGCCTCCGTAGCTGCCAATCCAGTCATGTTTTGAGTGGGGCCATGTCAGCACCACTGGGCTGGTGGAGGGAAGACAAGGCCCTTTATGAGCCATGTGACCTAGACCCTGCAGGCTGCGTGCAAATGTGTGCAGAGTTCTCACCGAGTCAGTGAAAGAAGTTTCGGAGGGAAGGCAGACGGGGTTCCCATGAAAGCTGCTCTCCTGAGAGGGCGAGAGAGGCCCGTCCACGGTGCAGGGAGGTGGACTGCTTACGGTGGGCACCGCTAAGTCCGAGCTCTGGGACGCGTGGACAGGTGGGAAATGTGGAGAGGAAGAGGAGGTAGGCGGAAGGAAAGGTTGGACGGAAGCTTGGTGGTGAGGCACGAAGTCCTGGGAGTAGGACCTGAACACAGACTTGTACTGAAGAATCCAAGCAGAAAACATACACACAAGAGAATGCGGGAAGGAGAGAGAACAGACAGACAAGAGAAAAGGCGGTTAGGTTAACTGTGGCTGAGCACTGATGGGCTTCCTATCCTTTCTAGTCAGGGACTGCTGGCCATGCCAGACAACCCCTTTTACAGACCCCCAGCTTGACACTGGCTCCTGAATGGGAGGCTGAGACTCAGCAGCACTGTCCTCTATGTCTGAACGGCAGAATGTGGACAGGATCCCTGGAATCCATAGCACATCCTACTTGCTGTGCTGATGACCACGTACTGCTCTGTGGCATGAGCCTGAAACAGATCCTCTGCCATCTCCCTGGTATACCTTCCAGCCCTCTTGGGGCATCTCAGGGCTATATTCCAAGTCACAGTTACTCATTTGGAATCTTTTGGACAACTTTCTGGTTTGTCCCTTAAAAGGCAAACATATAACCTTTGAAACATTGTGACCTACCTCGGGCCCTTTTAGAGAAGGGCCTGAGCCTCAGACAGGGCTGCAGAACTGCACCCCCTGATGCTAACTGTCCCCATGGGCTCATTCCCTCTGCTCACCCCTATTCTCGCTCTGCAGTTTCTAAAACAAATGCAGTGATGTCACAACCCTTCTGATGTCAGCCAGGAACTATAGGCAAGACCCCTCCAACTTCTCATCTGACAGAAAAGTTAGATGCCAGACTGAGAGCTGTCTGCAAGTCCTCGCAACTTTGGAGGTCCAAAGAGTACTCCCCAACTCCCTGACTCCCCAAGGTGAGGCCCTTGCCACCAAGCTGAGAAGAGCACAGAGCTACCATGCCTTGCAGAGGCCGCCTACCCTGCCACTAGCCATGACAGGACCTGGGAGAACAGTGCGTGAAAGGGACGCTGGGTGTTCTTAACCAGCCTCACATGCCCACCACAGACACCGACACGACATGGATGTGGCCTGCTTGAGTGCTCTCTGCACCCACTGAGGTACAGGTTTCAGAACCCACAGAGATAAGGAAAAGAAGAGACACGGCTTTAAACTGACTGGAGATATGAGGGTTTGAATCTAAAAAGTTCACTACAGGATCTTGTGTTGAATGCCTGGGCTCCAGCTGGCAGCGTTGTTCGAGGAAGCGGCGGACCTGCTGGCTGAGGGAGGTCACGGCAGGACTTTGATATTTATACTGGCTTGGGTTCCTGCCTCAGTCTCTCTGCTTCTGGGTCTGCTGTGATTCACAACACATATAGCCTCTGATAACACATCTGCCATTCTGCCATGCCTCTGCCACCCCATCACTCTTCCATCTGAGTGCCCTACGCAGATGCAGGAGGTTGTTACACCTGCCTCTTTATCTTTTTTATTTTTTGAGACGGCATCTCCCTGTAGCCCCAGTTGGCCTGGAACTCACTATGTAGACCAAGCTGACCTTGAACTCACAGAGATCCCCCTGCCTCTGCTAAGTGCTGGGATTAAAGGTGTGCGCCACCACATCTGCCTTACCTGTCTCTTCATCTTTAAAAAGGGTGAAAAGGACAGTCCTTCCTTCAGAGATCAGTGTGCCCTCTCAGTCCTCAGCATGCCTGGTGCGACAGGCTCTTGTTCACCACCAGCTGTCCTCTCTTGCCCTCCAGTATCAGTGCAAGAATCACTCTAAATACCAGGGCTGAGGCATCTCATAAGGGCCAACACATATTTTCTGGACAAAGAAATGCTTGGGAATAGATTCTATTACTAGAACAACTAAAAAATTTTTTTTGAGACAGGGTCTGTGTTGCCCTTGTTTGCTTTGAACTCACTATATAGACCAGCTTGGCTTCAAACTCAGAGATCCATCTGCCTCTGTCTCCCAAGAGCTGGGATTAAAGGCATGTGCCACTATGCCCAGCCAATTAAAAACATTAAAAAAATCACATTAATCTATGTGTGTATGTAAGTCACATATGTCATGGTGCACAAGTGGAGGTAGGATACTTCTGAGTGCAGATTTTCTCCTTTTACTGTGTGAGTCCTGGGGATCCAACTCAGGTTTTCAGGCTTGGTGGCAAGTGCCTTCATCTACTGAGCAATTTGCCTGTCCCTAGTATAATTTTCTCTTGAGACAGGGTCTGGCCATGTAACTCAGGTTGACCTACAACTCACAATCCTCTTACCTCAACCTCCAATGCCAGGACTACAAGGGTGTGCTACCATGCCCAACTATGGTTATGACTTTTTTGAGACAGTGCTCCCTGCCATGTTGCTCGGGCTGAACTCAAACTTAATTTATAATTCCCACCCTCAACCTCCAAAGTAGCTGAGATGACAGATGTGTAACATGGTACCTGGCTCCACTGGGAATTAAAATGTCTAGACCATTGACTGGGCCAAAGCAGCATCTCGGCTGTGAGCAAGGACAGGTAAATGAAGAGGAAGGCAGGCAGGTTGGTCTCTGGGGAGAGGACCTGGGCCCCTCTTTTCCACTGCTCCTTGCCTGTGCTGGCATTTCAGCTCCACGGCCGTGCTGGGACGGGAGCCAAGCTTGAGGAGACTCTTCACGAGGGCGGGAGGTGCCAGGGAAGGCATTCCGATCCCTGTGAAGCACCTCTGGCCCCGAAGCAGCTCTGCAGCTGCCAGGAGCAGTGCTGGGGCTGGGACTGGGCATCGCAATGTTTCCACAGGCCTTGGTTCCATCCAGCCCTTAGGAGCGTGCTCATCCCCAGAGCTAGGAAAGGGGCACAGCTGGCAACCCACAGTCACCCCGCCCCACGGCAGTCTGCAGCCTATTTTAGGAGTTGGCGGGTGGTTGGCTTTGCTTCTGCCGAGCTCTCTGTGCAGCAGGAATTTTTATTTATAGCCCGAGAGAGGCTGTTTGGGCTGAGGATTCTAGAACACTCAGGGATCCTGTCTGAGACCTGCACACTTCTGCAGGCAATTTGAGTGCCAGAGTAAAGGAGTTTTAAGAGAGGAGTGCCTGGCCCCAACGTCAGTGTGCCAGCCAGGAGCATACCTGAGAACTGGACAGTGGGGCTCCCTGCAGATGGTCTCATTGAACCAACAGGAAGTATTGCTGTGATCCTTTTGACAGTGAACAGAGGCCGCCTCCCTAATAAAATGTGCTGGTCAGAGGTAGTATGGGGTGGCCTGTATCATACTTAATTCTCAACGACTGGCCCTCACCCATGTAGCCTGACCTGCTCAGGGGTTTCTGCAGTCAAACACTTATGTTGGGTGTACTGAGCCCTGACTGTCAGGTAGAAAATATGGAGGCAGCAACCAGCTCTTCTGAAAAGATATGCCTAAAAAAACCACTGAGTTTCGGAGTAAAAAAGATGGTGGAGGCTGATGGATAATCTTCTGTTTGCTTGCGGCCAATTCATTAAAGCAAAGCTACCCAAGTCTGGTCAGGCACCAGTGAAACTTTCTCTGTTAGTCCTGGCATGAAAAATGTCAGGGGATGGGCTTCCCAGCAAGTCCCCAAGCCTTCAGCTTAATTCCTCTGGCAGCCAGGCCACCCGGGGATGAGGAGGCAGCCCCTCATTTTCAGGGATGGTTGAAATGAACACAGGCCAAGGATCTGAGCTCCCAGTCCTGCAGAGCACCCCACTGTACCTGTCACAGGGAAAGGCAGTCATGTAACTAAGCTGAACTGCTATGCTGTTGAGGGTCAGGGAAGCCACCAGAGAAGGTCACTCCCACATCAAGGAGGCTCAGAATGGCAAGGGCTTTGGATGCATTTGGCAAAGCAGATAAGCCATTGGACAGCTGCTTTTCAGCCACAAAACACACTCACAGGAGGCTGCTTTCATGATTTAGGAGTCTTTCCCCAGGAGTTCCCCAGCCTGCCTTGCTCAACATTGGCCCTGGGCTCACAGCATACTACCTTCAGCAGGGGTCACCAGCAGCACAATGCAGGCTAGGTAGCGGTCAAGTTTCAGGTGCTACACAGCACCCTGAACTTGCCTTGTAAGCCCGACATGGCTCCCATGGAGACGGGCTAGATCATCGCCAGGACTCCAGGAAGGGTCCTGAGTAACACCCCTCCCTGTCCATGTGACAAGCTCAAAGGAACACCTTGTGCTCTCTTCCTTCTGGCCCCTAATCAGCTGTTTATGAACACTGTTCTTGGATCTACCTTAAGTCCAGGAGGCACCTCCTGTTTGAGGTTACTAGTTTATAGTAACTACATTTTGTATAACGACAAGATGTGAGGTTTCAAAGCCACTGGTAGATTCTGAGGTTGATGCCATGGGCACCTAAGCCTGAGACCCGAGCCCTGCCACAGGGCCACTTGTCATTGATTCTGGCAAGGAGAGCCACTTTTGTGGGTCATCTTATGAGAGTGATAGGGGCATCATCCTACGAAGGAAGGCAACAACAGTGTCATGTTGGGTCCAAAATATCTCCTCTCCCTGTTCAAACAAGCTTCTTGGTGAGTTTATTTAAAAAAAAAAAAACATTTGAAAATTCTGAAAACAAAGTCATAAAAGAACTGAAATGTTTTGCTTGGGTAGATTTTGGGTAAGTGGAGTAAGTGTAAAAATAGAGGCCCCTTCTCCTGTGACATGTTCCTGCAATGGTGGCAAGAGGCTTGCATAAAAGCCTTGCTTCTGTCCAGTGGCCTCACAAACCGGCTACATCTCAGGGTGCTCCGTGTGCTCACTAAGGGTCAACCCACATGCATCTACTCTACAGAAAGATACAAGACAGACTAAGTCCAGCAGCCCGGAGGAAATATTCTTACACACTTGGGGCTTCAGCAATCTGACAAGCTCTAACGTATTTTTAGATCTCCAACTAGAGCCTGTAGCTACACTTAGCAATGCATGACAATGTGAAGGACAAACACACGCCTCCAGGTCCAGCCACAGGCTTCTCTGACCAGCCATACCGCATCTCAGTATTTATTTGGCAATGAACTGGCTTATAAATGTCAACTTAGTGCTGTCCTTTTCATGAGGAAGAGCTGGGTTTTAACCTTGGCTCTGGCTGAGACCGGGAGCAGATGGCTTAGTGTCTCCACTCTGGTGTCTCCATTGCCAGAGTGAGAAAAACACTGCTTTACAGAGTTGTAAGGAAGATCTTGGTCAAGTCCAGGCAGTGTGACACAGGCACTATTCATCCACCTTATTTGGAACGACTGGAGTCCTTAGGGGGTCATGTCAGTGTACAGCCTCCTGCAAGCTGGACTCTGATACCTGGTCCATGTAACTATCCAATGGAGCAAGGTGCGACAGTCATGGCCTTGTGTCCAGGGCTGGAAACATTCACAGAATAGCGAGCAGGTAGGGAGAAGAAACAGGTGAGACAGGAGGGAACTCACACTGATTGTCTGCTATATGCTGTTCTCGGGGAACCCAGAGCCCAGAGTGGAGAGAAGCCTACACAAAAATATCGAACGTCGAACCTGGGCTTGCAAACTCTGCTGTGCTGCTAAACTCCAAGAACAGGGAGGGTTTGGGAACCAATGAGAACTCACGTAAAACACGCAGGAGACGCTCAGGCTGCTCCAGGCCAGGGAGGGACAGGACCAGTGAGATGGGAAGGCCTAGGAAGAGGCTTTCTACAGAGCAGGAGCCTCCTTTTCCCAAAGGGGAACCCCTGATGCTAGCAATGTGAGGGACCCTCCAGGAAACCCAGGAAATCAGACAGGCCTAGGAAACAACACCCAGGAGGGAGTGGCTCTGAGTAGCACTTCTGCTCCTGGGCCACTGGGTTCTGCACCCCCACATCTTTCTCTCTCGTTTATCAGTGTGATTTAGCTTTGCTTAGGCCAGGAAGCCAGTGGAGATATGATAACCTGGGATGTGACAAGGGAAAGCAAGAGTGGCTTGTGCCGTCCAAGCAGACAAGATCCTGTCTTCATGCCCCATCATGGGCTGTCCCCTACTTCCTGTCCACGCTGTCACTCTTTGTCTTGTTTGCTCTCTTCTACATTACCCCCTGGTCTGGCTTTTAGACCAGGTTGTGTGCCCATGGTTTCTGTGATGGATTTTGGGTGAATTCACAGGGATGAATTGTGGCCAAGAGGTGGCACGAGAGACAGAAGCATTGGTAGAAGGCATGGAGCCTGCCCTTTGTCTCAGGAGGTGGCCCTGGCAGTTTCTAGGACCCCGGCACAGAAGCCAAATGTCTGTATGAGGCCTGCCCCTTCTATGAAGAATGAACATGTAAATGTCCCAAAACCTGGATCCAACTGCTCAGGGAAGGGACTGTCTGAACCCAGAATGGGAACCACTTACTCTACAGCCCTTTTCAAAGCACTTAGCTTTACTTATTCTTTACTTTTTTTTTTTTTTTAAATCACGAGAGTCATTATGGGCATTTTAACACACTCTCTCAAAGTGGGAATAGCAAGTCATTTTACTTATCCAGACTCATTCTGGAAGTCAGGATAGAAAATAAATCCACCAGCAAAGTCTAGCATTCCAACAGGTCTCTTGGTGGTAGTAACACCCATAATGATGCTGGTGAGGAAAGGAGAAGACGGTCTGGAGTGGGAGGGCAGCTCCCATAGTATCGGCTGCAGTACACGGAGGCACTGGCCCCTCATGGTCACCAAAAGCTTCAATGCTATCACTACTGCTGAAGGGCAATGTGGAACATGGGCCAGATCCACAACTCTTCAGATTCATAGTACAGAGTCTAGGCCAGAGAAGGGACATGCAAGGGAGATGGCTGGGACATGGGGCATGGAGGAACCTGGGAGGGATGTGAGCAGTCCCATGCTGGGCCACAGTAAGGACCTGTCAATCAACCTACAGGTGGCAGAGCCTGGAAAGCCATGGAGGGAGAGTTCCAGGATAGGAAGAGGGACCCGTTACCATATCTGACAGTGCAGGTCGTGTGGCTGCTCAGGGAGCGCAGTGAGGCATCTCATAGACATGGACACGGCAGGCCCAAGGCCAGGCAACAGTCAGGAGTGCGGGGCGGTCTCCTGGGCCTTGGCAAAGCTACACCTGTCTCTCCACTGTTCTTGCCTCAGTCTCCCCCTCATTCTCTACAACATCTTTCTTTTGCTAATCAGGCTTTAATAATCTTGAGGACATTAAATCTTCTAAGCTGCTGTCTCCTGGGACAATGCCCACATCGGGAAAGCATGGGAGGCTGTGGGTCAGGAGTGGGTGCTGTGCCTACTTGGCTTTTGCTGTGTGTGGTCCTGAGGAGATGGGGTTGAGGGTGGGGAGGCCTTGCTGGTACTGCCATTGCTCTTTAGCCTCTCCTGTGACCTTAGTCCCTGGCTGTTTGATCCTGGGTTTTCTGGCCACTATCCCTGATGGCCCTGGGATTGGAGCATATTTGACTGACTTTTTGTGCCCTTTGTCTCTCTGAAACCAATTGTCCTTTAAGCTGTGAATCCATGAATCAGCTTCTCCCTACCCCACCTACTTTCTACTGTGACTTCTGCTGTCACTCACACCTTGGCTCTGCCCAGTCTATCTCTGCTTATCTCACTCTACCTACTGAACCATGAGCCCTTCCCAGGCACAGGGTCACCCAGCTCCATCCTTCTTATACCTGCTCCGAAGGCAGTGCAGAGCCCCATATCTGGGGCTCATCTTAGAACTAACCACAGACTGAATGAAGAGCTGGCACGACACTAAATCACTCCTGGGGTTCTGCCCACCAGACGTCACATGCTCTGCACATTTAGGCCATTACTCATGGTTCTCGAGGTTCTTTCCTTGCAATGAAATAAAGTACCTTCTTAGCGAGGCCCCTTGGGCTCCTTCCTGGAGCTGGAGCTAAGAATACAGGGTCACAGATGCAAGATGCTTTATACTTTCCATGTCCCAGGACTGACAACCATGACACATTCATACCCAAACCTAATTAAATGCCCCTGAATTTTATGCAATTCTGTAGCAAACAGCCCAGTTCTGCCAGAGTCCCCTGGTTAACAGCTCAAAAGGGATACTGTAGAAACCCTTATAATTCATTTTGTGTGTGCGTGTGTGTGTGTATGTGTATGTGCATGCATGCATGTACAACAGTCAAGGCCTAGGACCGTCTAAAAGCCCTGTGGTGGTGCACGCCTTTAATCCCAGCACTTGGGAGGCAGAGGCGGGCAGATCTTTGTGAATTCGAGGCCAGCCTGGTCTACATAGTGAGTTCCAGAACAGCTGAGGCTACAGGGAGACCCTGTCTCAAAAAAGACAGAAAAAAAAAAAAAAGCCCCGTTTTGTAAGGCTGGTGGAGGGTGTTTGCTAGAGGTGTCCTCTGAGGAACCACGGGAGTGTGAGTGGCCAGGGTGGAAAGGTGACTCAACCTGTCCTACAGGCTGAGGGCTGCTGAGGAGGCCCCATACTGCAAGATCCACCTGGGCAGGTCCTAGGCATTGGATTGTAACCCTAGGCATAACTGGACACCAGATAAAACTGGGGCAAGTTTTACAGTCACCTATCCAACAAAGCTCTTCCCTGGAGGTGAGAGGTGGGAGAATGAGGTTAAGCCATCTGCTCCACTCTGAGCAGGTCAGAGGCAGGACAAGACCAGAACCAGAACACAAGATCAGCACTGACACTACTTCTGAATGTCCCTTTTAGGGTGCTTCCCATTGCCAAGTTTGTCATCCACACCGCAAATAGGTAAACACACAGCTCCAGACAGTCTTAGGCCCAGGCAGTCACTATCTGAGCTCAAGCTGGTTTCAAAGGATCTGAGTTCTGCTCTGCTCTTCCCTTCTGCCACTCAGAGCCTTGCAAGCAGATCACAGAAAGAAAGGTGGCTGCTCTGGTTATGGGACAGATACAGAGTCCAGAAGGCTTAGCCGCCTTGTACACTGCCAGTGAGCTGTCTACAGACCTGCCTCGCTTTCCCCATACTGGCCTGTGTCAGGGAGACAGGCAGTATCTCTTACCAGTAGCAAGGTCTCCTTTCCTGCTCCCCACTCACCCCCAACCCAGTAGCCTTTTGATTCCACTGAGCCACTGCACCGGTTGTGGGCTTAGGTCTCGGGGGTGCCTGGCACTCTTCCATTTGTTATCTTGGAAGCCTGCCAGCTGCCAGGAGAAAAAGCCTGAATCAGCCTGACAGAGGTGACAGATAAACCAGCCCAACCATCCCAGCTCAGGTTCAGAGATGTCTGCCTGGTTAGGTCAGCACAGCAGCCTCCTAACATGCATCTGAAATAAAGACAAAGTTTTGAGTAAGGGGGCTTTGGGCTGGTTGTTTACACAGCACAAGCTAACTACTAGCTCTCAATCTCCAAAGCTCATGCACCTGGCTACCTGCTCCGTCCTTGCCCTGCTTCCTATGTGAGGACCGCTCCCTCTTAAACGTAGTCCCAGGTCCCTGAGAGAGCAGAAACAAAGGCAGAAACAGCTGAGCTCTTTACTCAGTACCAGGTTCTGGACAGGACAGCTCATGTCTCTGCTCCTACCCCACCTACTCCCCACCAACCCTGAGGCCCAGGGAACCAAGCATTCAGACTCTTTGCTGAGGACAAGCCGGGGTTTGCAGAAGGACAGGGATCAGCAGCACCCTCATCTGGGAGGCACAAGCCACAAGCATTAACTTCACAAGCTTCAAGGGAAGAGGAGCAGTGAAGGAGTGACTCACCGAGGGCACAGGCAAGCTGCCGTGCCGGTTGAGAAAGGAGTTAGACACGGACACACTGAGGCCCTGAGTGGCACTGCCGTCCTCGGGGGTGAAGGCCACTTTAGTTTGCTGGACACAGTAGGAGATAGAGGAGAAGGGAGAAGCAGCATAGGAGGCCTGCTGGGCAAGAGGGCGAGAGAAAAGGCAGGGAGGAGGAGAAAGCAGAGAATAGTCAGCATGGTGGGCAGCCTGTGGGGTCTGCTCCCTAATACCACTCAGGTGTGTTCTGGCAAGGGCTGGCTGCCTGCTTCAGTCCAGAGCCCCCAAACACCTGCCCCTGCTTGCCCTCCTTATGACAGATTCTAAGGTGAGCTTTCAGAAAGATTGCAATGGGGTGACAAGTGGGCTGGAGCCATGCAGACCTGGGCTGACATAGGCCCCAAGCTCCTTGGTGGGGAGCCATGCAGACCTGGGCTGATGTAGGCCCCAAGCTCCTTGGTGGGGAGACCTGTGTGGTCACTCTGGCCTCAGAGCTCAGTCTGAACCAGGCCACCTGTGTTTGAGTCTGGACACCCCCAACCAAAGATCACCTGTTAACCTTGGGCATTGCTTAAAGACCTTGGTGGTCAGGGCCCATCTGTAAAATGTGGCAGACTCTGGCAGCGTCTGTGTAGAGCTGTGGAGAGGCCTGAATGAAGGGGCATACAGGGCACAGGGAATCATGTCTGTCACTGTACATGGATAAACGTAACTGTTACCATATCATACCATATTGTGTGTAAAGTATGTGCAATTCCTGCATGTGTGTGCTAGAGGCAGGGCATGACCAGCAGCTGGCGTGTCCTGCCCTGAGCAGGTCTGGGCTCAGCTGGAGTTGGGTTTGGTTCCTAGGTCTCTGGCTAGCTGTGGCCTAGGGTTAAGTCTCCCTGGTTCTCAGCCTCTTTTAACTTACAGTGTGGACTCGAACCGCGGTAAGGGCTGTGTGCACCCAAGCCTGCCTGGAAGGCCCCTAACAGCTGATTTCTCCCCACCCTGCAGTATGGCTGAACAGGCCACACTGGGCCCTCAGAATGGCTCTACTTCTACATGCTCCTGAGCAAACTGTTCAGTCTATGGATGCCTCGGCACAGAGAAGGTGCCCAGGATGACCCACAGACCATGGAAGAGCAATCTCAGTGAGATCTGGGTCAGCAGTGTCCCTGGGCCGGACATCTATATTTCCATAAAGATCCTCTTGGGAGGTAACAGCAGAGTAATTCAGATTCACATGTAGTGTCATGGGGAAGGCAGGGCAGGTAAGGAACTAATCCTGAGCACAGCTTATGGGACAGGGCTCTCGAGCAGTAGGACTGGAACCTGGGACTCCTAAATCAGCCCTTCAGCCCTAGACAAGGGGGCCTCATCCAGGCTGGCCGTATTTCTTAGGAGAAGCAAAGGCCAGTTGGGTTGGTTAGAGCCTGTGGAGGGTGGAACAGCAAAGAATCCTGAGGCTAGGCTGAGCCCCAGGCACTGTAAGAAGAGGAGCATTTGTCCTTTGGAAGGTAGCTACCTTCTGGAAACATCAAGGTGTCACCTTTACTTCCTTTCCAAAGGGACAAAAAATGGTCTAAATTGCCATAATGCCCCCTCCCCGCCCCCACCTGAAGTGACTAGACTGGCCAGCAAGAAAGCAAAGTAGTCCAGGCAGCTCTGCAAGGGCTAAGACGCCTGCTCTGCAGAGCGTGGCTGGACCAGAGGCTCCAACCCTGAGGCCTGGCTGGAGCCCCTGGTGGCAAGAGCAAGGCTGGAGGCACCTTCAGGTTCACTGACCCACTGCCCTGGTGAGTAAGCCGGCATGCAGGTCGGCCCCATGGGAGAGCCTGCCTTCCACCTGCCTCAAGCCACACTCCCTCACAGGATCCTCTACACAGAGGTGTTAAGGAGGATGCTGCTGTATCTGTAGCACAAAGTGGCTCTGTCTCAATCCACCCCGCTTCAATAGAGCTTGTTCCCATGGGGCCATCCCTGGCCAGGGCTGGGATGGAGGTGACTCTGTAGAGCTAGACCCATTATGGAAACCAAGTCCACAGATGGCCATACATAGTCCATGCTCTGTGCTTTGACTGAGTCCCTCCTGTCTAGAAGGTCTATGTCAGAGCCATGGGAGAAGGAAAAACACAAGAGGCGGTCAGCAGAGAAATCAAACATTCTGAGCACAAGTCCGTTGCAGCTCCGCAGGCTGCTGGAGATGGCCTTGACCCCAGGGTGGGGAGATGGCAGTGCAGGTGGGTGACAGCCTTCTGGCCAGTGTCTGGGGAGGAAGTGGAGGCACCATGTAAGACAGTGCCTTCAACACCGAAGCCCAGGGCTCTGCCATGGATGAAAATGGGTTCAATCTGGCCCTAGGAAGAGTTCCAGGTCCTGGAGGCCTGTTAGGATTGGAAGCTGTGTTCACCCATGGCAGTGCCGAGGTCACAAGATGGGAAACACTTACCAGCTGGCGCTGCTTAGGAGGTAGGGCAGGTGGTGGGGCCAGCTCCTGTGTGGAGTCGCCACCCCCGAAGGAGTCGCTGAAGCCATAGACCTCCATGAGCATCTTGTTCTTCTGCTGGTAGATGTGTTCGCTCTGTGGCGTTTGGTAGAACATGGAAGGCTGTGGCTCTGAGTAGTCCTCTAGCAGCTGCATGTAGGCCAGCACTGCGGAATAGAGGGTGGTCTGCTGTTCTCTTACAGGAGCAGTTCCCACAGGGACACCATCAAGAGGATCCACACCCACACACTCTCATGCTGGGGAGGACAGGCAGATCATGGGGCCTCTCAGCGTGGAGGTGTTACCCTGGGTGATACTATAAAGGTGGAAATGTGTTATCACAGGGCTGGCCACACTCACAGAACCATCATGCGCACTGTGGGCTCTGGGTATAACGACATGTCATTGTACACCCATCTACAGTAGTGGATGTCCCACTTAGCTGGGAGTGGTCAGTGGGAAGGAGAGTATGCGAGTATGGGGAGATGGGAAATTTCTGTGCTTTCCGCTCAGTGCTGTTGTGAGCCGAAAATGGCTCCAAAAACATTAAAAAAAAAAAAAAGCACACGGAGCACTTTGCTCCCTTCCCAAAGAGGTATTGGGGGTTTCCAGCCATACCCAAGCAACACCTGAGGCTCTGCAGGACCATTCAAGCCCCAACCTGCACTCTCCCTGGCCCTGGGGCTCGACATCAGCTTTATTACCTTGTGCCAAATACTGAACTGAACTGCTGTGAGGGCTGGACGATGCTCCAAGGTTCTGCCTTTGGCCTACTGTGCCGGGGTGGGGGTGGGGGTGGTCCCCACAAGCAGCCCCATCCACAGCTTTCTTCTCTTCCCCTTCCCTCTCAGTTCCTCCCAAGCTGGGTATCCAGCTGTCTGTGGTCTTCGCTCATTCACTGCTTACTGAGCACATACTGTACATGTTCGGCACTGACTACACTGGGACCAGTAAGATGGATCCTTTGCCTCATGGGGTTCAGACTGCCTTTTGGGCAACAGAAAAGATACACATAGGGTGCAGCAGCCCCATCCACAGGCATTTGTTGGCCACGGGATACTGTTCTGGATGATGGAAGAACTACTCAACAATGGGAAAAGGCCTTGCAAGACCACTGGGAATTGGAAGGGTGGGCAGAGTACAGCAGGTGAGAAACCAGGGGAGGAGCCTGGCTCCACTCCTGTGAGGCCGCCTGCAGGAGGCCTGATGTTGAGCATGGGGACCCACTCCCCTTGGATGTGTTCAGAACTAGTAACTCGAAGATGTGGGCTGTGGTGGTGGTGATTGAGAACCGGGCATTTAAAAGGTGGATGGAGCAGGATTTACTGCTTTCCCCTAAAGGGCTGAAGGTCCAAAAGAGTCTGGCCATGTCTGGTTTGTCCACAAACATTTGTAGGATGGATGAATGAAACACACTCCCAGCAAGTATCCTTAGGGACTTGCTAGCCCTCTGGGTGTATAAGAAACTCTAGTCACTGAGCCTGTGGCTTCCGTTCTACCTGGAGGGCCACAGGGAGAAAGGGCAGAAGAGGAAGTGCTCCAATTCTAACGAATGCATCTTCTCCACCCGCCATCACCATTCATTCAACCTGATGCTAAGTTACTGCCTTCCAACAGAGTGGCCTGTCACAACCTGTCGGCCTGGTGGGCCAGCCTCTCTGCCTGGGCAGGGTGGCAGCCAGTAACAGCAGACCTCATGTGCCCAGGGAGCCGAGAAGCCAAGTTCAGCTGTCCCATCTCATGATCTCATCCTCGCAAGCACCTCTCACACAGTCACTTGGGCCTCACTGTCCACAGAGCCAGAGGGCTCTAGGAAAGGAGCTGGAGCACTCTGACCAGCTGCCTGGGCCCCTTATGGAGTGGGAGGGCTGGCGTGAAACAGCAGCTCCTCCTCCCACCTTAGTGACACGGGGTCCTGAATACTTCCTGGACACAGTCTCTTATCTGAGTCCTGAACTCCTGAACCACTCTGCCCTGGGCACTTGGACCATCCTATAACACATGGAGAGGCTGGTGAGAGAAAGACACTGTTGGCCCTCTGAAACCTGGTTAGGACTGAGTACCAATTAATTCACTCAGAAAGAGAACAAGAGTGACAGCTGTGAAGAAAAGAAAAGGGACCCTGGGCTAAAGGTCCTATGCCACCATGTGGCAGATAACAGGGATGGTAACTGTCAGCCATCTTCCAAGCTGACACTTTGTCCTCAGATCCCGTCCCAAGTGCCACAAGCACCTGCCTGGCAGCACGGATGCTGTTTGCTAATAGCCAGAGTGGGGGGTGGGGGTGGGGGCTCCCTCATCAGAAAGCTGAAGTCATCCTGAGGCAGGGAGCGCACTTTCTCCTAGCACCCCATGTGGGGCCCAGGGTCTCAGCAAAGGTCCTCTCCAGGCAGGTCCTCCTGGTGCCCTTGCTGAAGGCTGCTGTGTTTATTTACAAGAATAAGGAACTTGCTGGCTGCACTAAGCACTGACAGAACATGGCTGTGAAAGGCAGTACTCCCCACAGCTGGACTGAGCTGCTGAAGAGAAGTGCAGCTGCTTTACCCCTGCTCAAGTATTGCATGGGAAAGTGACCCCAGACCCACCAGCAGCTCCCCAGAATGCCTAAGCATCCCCTACCCAATGTGCCATGGGATGGGCCTCTTCTGGCTCTAGAAACATCTGGTACTGTGGTCCTGGTAGAGACCTGACAGCCATGCAGAGAGGACAGCAGTGATGTCCACCTTCCCAGAACAGGAAGCCAGACCCTCACACAACAGGCAGCGCGGCTGGGAATGCTTGGCTGCAGGTACTTCTCCAGGCACCGGAGCCTGGGGTTTCCAGGGGCAGAGAGCACTCCTGTGGGCTGCCATGAAAAAGGACAGGGAGGCTCCTTGGTGATGTCAGGGCACCCCCTCATGATGAGGATGCACTACCTCAGAATTGGACATGTATAGGCTTGGTCTAGAGGTAGCCAAATGTAAGAGACAGTTATTCATTCTTTCCCTCAAAGCAATTCTGTGATGGTTTCCAGAGGCTTACAGGTGGAACTCTCTGAGACCTCCCTCAGGGAGTGAAGGGGGGACTCTGAACCAGCACTGAGCTCAGGATGCCTCAAGTCAGGGCTCTTTCACTGAGCATAGAAAGTTGACCCCAGAATGAGTCACTACTGAAAACTGGGCAGATTTCAAGGAAGGAGGGGAAGCCCTTCCCTTTGGGCTTGGGAGGGCTTGGATACGCTGCTGTGACCCCAGCCTCACTCGAACCCCACACTGCCCGTTGCTTTTGCCTCTGTGTGGGCATACAGATTCTCTGAGTGCCAGTCTCTATACCTCTAAGATGTGGTGGGGGAACTAACTATACAAACTAGAAGTCACCACCCCTGAACCCCCAGTGACCCTAAGGGATCTATAAGCAAAAGCACTCTAGTCACAGTGGGACAGAGCCTCAAGTGCTCCCTCATACCACAGAAACTTTCAGCCACTTGAGATTGACAGAAACAAAGGCCACCTGCCCTCTGCTTCCTTCTCTGCAGACCCTGCCTGAGGACCACAACCCACCCCCTGTTCTAAGAACTACAGGGGGGGCTTCCTGGCTGGGCAGCACTATGCATTTGGTGCAGTTTTCACAGACATATTCCTGTCTCACGTCCTAGTCCAGAGGATTCCTATGATGAGAAAAGGGTGGTCTACAGTGGCATGATGCTACAGTGGTAAGGTGGGGATGGAGGAGCCCAGAAAGATCCCTGCTCACCAGCTGTGTGTGTCCTTTCAGCAGAGCTCTGTCTGTAATGAGTCAGCTTATAGGACAGATGGAGTGATGTCAGCAGCCTGCAGAGCCAGCTCTCCCTCCAGCTGGGGACCACCCCACTAAGGCCACAGGCTGGGCAACACCCAGTGGGGGGTGTGATTACACCCTTGGCCCCTCTGGTCCTGGGGTGCTCTTGCTGGGTAAAAATGCCACGCCTCATTTGGGAATGGGAAGCCCTCACCAGGGGTAGTCAGAAGTCCAATATCTAGTTTCAGGTCTTCTCTGTTGCATTAGACAGCAATGAGGGACCCATGGGGCTGCAGGGCTGATGTGGCCACACACATCAAAATGGTGACATCTGGTCTGCCAGGGAAATCCAAGAACAGTGCTGGTGAAGTCGGGGGAAGTGGAGCAATGTGGCCAGCAAGTCTCCAATGTGGAGCCGTTAGCGGAGCCAGGAGAAGATGGAGTCTCTAGACTGCTACTTAGTAATTCTATGGCAAACTTACAATTGGAAACTATCCAAAATACAAGCAGTTGGCGTAAACACTTCAGATCCACCCTCTACCCTTGGCCCTGACAACATTCAGCCATTAAAACTTCTAGTCCAAGAAGTGTCCTCAGCCCTTAGCAAGTGCTAATCCAGGTCACTGTGAGCATGCTGTCCCCGTACCCTGCACACAGGGGCATCTCTAACCAGGGATCTTTGGGAACCTTCTGTGGGTGCTAGCTAAGTTTAGTTTACACTCAAATGCCCACTGCATTTCCCGTGTGTGTAGCTGCAATGCTGTCTTGTGTGCCCTGACACCCACTTCTCTTTGTCACTGTGTGTTCAGGTCAAAAGGGTCACTGGACCGCATCTAAGGAGGGTTGCATTTGGGAGCATCAGCCCTGAGATTTCAGTGGCCACAGAGGAGATGAGCTTATTAGGTATTCAAGAAGGATTGTTGTAATGATGGCACCGGGCCTCTGGATATGTCTGTGACCCTATCCTGCATGAAAGAATGAGGCCACTGAGGCCTGATTTTGGTCTCATGCTGAGTAAAACAAACAACTGGTTAGGGTTATAAAATGTGCTTGCAGAGGAGAGCTCAGAGGAAGCTTACTGTGCTTATTTTTCTTCTCTGGTAGAGGAGGTGGCTTCTCTGGGTCGCCTGCTGACTCAGGAGCACTGAAATCACCCACAAACTCCATAGGGGCTGAGGAACCTCCCTGCTGAAAGGAGAGGGTAGCAGCAAAGGGTGTATAGGGGATGGGCTGGACTGAGGCTGGGTTCTGCAGGTCATCTTCAGAGATATTGTCATACTGTGAGGGGTGTCGCTCATAGGACGCCCTGCAGCCAGAGCTGTCTGCGGTCTGCGAGGCTGCACTCCTGCGCTTCTTCTCAGGGAGGGCAGGTGGGGTGTCTGTCTGCTGCCCCTCCTGCTGGGGACAGCTGCCCAGGGGCAGCTGGAAAGGATGGCCAAGAAAAGAAGGCCCAGACTCCCCCAGGGACTCGGGCAGTGGGCTGAGGCTGCAGGCCACCTGCTGAGGGATCTGGTCTGCGTTGGAGAGGTCTTGCTGGAGGAATTCATAGTCGGGGTCATAGTGATCTGCAAGTCACACAGGAAAACGTGTGTTAGTCACGGGCCGCTGGCCCACTTGCCCTGCTCAGGCCTGCTCACAAGAGATGAGCATACTTCACTCCTCCCGGGAACTTCTCTGGATATTCTCAGTCTGCTAACTATGTATGTCAAACAGGTGGGGAGATGGCTGTTTGCCACACTAGTCTGTACATATGTACGTGTGTGTGCGCGCGCGCACATATAGGTACCATACATATATATATATAAATAAATAAATAAAAACCAGTCCCCTTCTATGGAGGTTGGCCTCCCCAGGCAGGAATCTTGCCATAAACCTCTCCTCTGTGCTTAGGGTCCCATCTTAGAAGTGAAAGGATCTAGTTCCCAGAGCACAAACTGCTGGGTCCTGACAAACCCCTACAAACCTATCCTTCCAACCTCGATTGGCCCACACAGTCCTGGTTGGCGGTGACTGTCAAGGCCAAGGAGGCTGCTCACTGCTTTTAACCTCTGTCACCATCAGGAGCTCACCCCTCACAGACAAGGACCCAGCACAAGGCTGACCATAAGGACGGTAACCACCTGAGCATCTACTGTGACTCTGCATTGTGGTTTCACACACACATCCAGCCTCCTCTAGGACAGATGCCATCCTCAATTTGCAGATGAGGAGACTGAGGCTTGGATTTTAAAGGACTAGGTCACCTAAGTCACCCAGCCAATGGCTGGAGAGGAGCTGACTCAAGCTCAAAGTCAGAGAACACTAGAGAGTGACAGAGAAAGGGGTGGGCTGTGGTGGCTCACCTAGTGTTTCACAGCTTGTGTTCCGGGAGCACTGCCCACTGTCCCTGTCTAGGGAGGACAGCTGCTCGTCCGACCGGCTGAGCTTGCCTGTGCTGCTGCAGGGGGACAGGCGGGGAGACTCACCACCGCAGGAGCGGCTGCCTCCTGACAGGCGCCTCTGGGTGTAACAGTCAACGTCAAAGTCCTCGAGAAGAAGGAAAACGAGCTCAAGTCACTCCTGGGAAAAGGCAGCAGAAACCAGGGACAGGCAACTGGCACACTGGCTTACAAAAAACCCAGCCTAGCTCAGACGCCAGCACTGATGTCAGCATAGGAGGCCACTGAAGAGATAAGAAAGGAATTGGGAGGAATGTGGCAGTGTGTGGACAGGGATGTGCTTGAGAGGCATCCGAGGTTTGTTGACTGCCTATATCATGGAGAAGGACCATGAACGGAAGTCCTTCCACAAGCCTCTGGATGTGACCAGCAATGGTCGGAAAGACCACCAGGTGTCTCTCAGCCTCAGGACCCAATCCCCAAGCCAACGCCCCCACTTCCCCTCAGGAAACAGAGTTGCATTACCTGCCTATTGATTCCAACAGGCAAACTGGAGCCACTGGTGGCTCGACTCATGGGGGCCACCACAGCCACTCGGGTAGGGGATGGAGCTGACTGTCTTTTCTTGGGTGGTAATGCTGGTGGACTAAAAGAGACAAAACATTCAGGCAAATTGAACACCACAAACAAGAGTGCTTTAGATGGTACAGGGTACAGGAATGAGCAAGGCTCTTCCCAGATCAGATTCTCCACACTCAAGCCCCACACCCTAACTATGCCCTGCTACCCTCTTGTCAGTGAAACCTATAAATACCAAAAGAACAAAAACAAAAGATCCTTTTCTTTCCATAGTAGACTGTGCCAGGTTTTACTAACTAAGACCCAAAGGCAGGCTGTAAGAGCACAGGCTGTGTGAGGGGCAGAGCCCGGCCAACCCTCAGACAGTCTTCCCCAACAGTGCCAAGCCCCCAGAGCACTGAAGGGCCCAAATGCCCAGGTCTTACCCCAACCACTGTTCTTTTTGCTCATTCTATCCTCTGTTCCCCACATTGTGCCATAAATAGGAACGGTGCTAGAAAACCAGGAGGATAATTACCTGTTATCGACCACTCTAATACCAGGTAAAGGGGGCTTGGGGGGTGCGACTTCTTCACTAGCGGAATCTGGGAGCAGCTCAGCAGATGGTGACACACCTGTTGTCTTGTTTAGAATTTCCATTTCTCGGTCTGTCAGGGGGAGCTCAGGCTGGCTGGAAAGATGAAAGAACTTGGGGTCAGATAGTCACATAGCACAAACAGGTCCTGAGAGTGGGCAGTAGAGGGATGGGGCTGAGGGGAATCTTCCCCTAGCTTTGGGGTTTCCACAGAGCTTCATCACTGACAGGCTGGGCTGGTTCCCTAGCTGCCCCTCAGTTTCCTTGAAATACTCTAAATTAACCTGTCACATTCTTATCAGGAACTAATGCAAAGCAGTAAGGCTATTCCTAAGGCCCTTAGCTTATACTTTTCTTTCTTGGCTTTTTTTTTTTTTTTTTTTTTTTTTTTTTTTTTAAAAGGGGTCCCCT